TTGTGTAAGTAGATCTACAATATCTACTGTACATCACAAAGAATTGTAAAAAAACCACTGCAATTTTCAACATCCAAAACTTGAAAGGCATAAACATTAGAAGGCTTCCAATTTATCCTATACATCTTCGCACGTCCTATTTTCTATTTTTCGTATACAACTTTTGGCCCATTTACGACTTGCTTGAATGTACACAGATGACAACTACCATTTTAATTTTAAAAACCAAAAACATATTCTACCTCTTACTACATTACAATAGAGCTGATATTCGTTTGGAAAAAATATGACAACTGAATTGCATATTCAGTTCTAGCATACGCAGGAAAAAGCTGGAATCTCAGCGCAATTCATCCATCATTCATTCTTCGTGTTCGGTGTGAAAGACGCCGTGACGATTATGTCGTTCGCTTAGGTGTGACAACTGTTACTTGCTTGCAACATAGCTTTAAGTCTTGTACATAGACTCTACTTTACCTTACTTTTAACAAAACATAACTTTGTAGTACTTTAGACACTTTTGTGCAACTACGGAATTGGAAATGTAACATCGAATGTCATTTTTCAGAATTTCCTCTTTTAAATCTATGATTTAAGGATCAAAATAGCGTGTAGCAAGTTTATTTTGTATCATTTTGATCTGAAACTTGTAACTAAGCCTTGATAATACTCCAGTTATTCGACAGAATTGTGTTTGAGTTTACAACGATATAAGTGTGTCTTAGGGGTAGGGAATAAGGGTGCATGTAGTTTGAGCGTGTATCATGCATAGGAAGCACAGTCTATAGTCTTTGTTTACAGATGTATCACCAGCAAAACGAAACAGATGCAATGGGATTGACAAGTGCCTTATCATATTGATCTAAATGAGCAAACGTTAATGATTTAGTCAAATCTAAAGTGTTTTTTGAATAAATTCTAATAAATTACACCTGAAATCAAGAAACTTATGATAAAAGTAACAAAGACGCTTCTTCTTTAAAATTCGACATCTTAATAGCAAATACAAAGAAATGAGCATAAAAATCTAAAAATCAAAGTAAATAATATTGTTTCTTATTTTTCAATGCTCTTATCATAAAGATGCAAGAGAAAGTCTATACTAAAAACAATTTAAATTATTTTCAAAATCTATTAGCATATTTTGCTGATATTTTAAAAATATGATGATGATGATGATGTTCTCCTAGCCGATTCCGGCCACGGCGGCCAATCTCAATGAGATTAGCCAACTGCGCAGGAGATATTATAGTGCTCAAGTGTACGCGCAGACACAAGTGCACTCTCTATTTCTATCACTCTCATACTCCGGTGGGACGACCACTCGACACGACCGGTGAGAGTTAAGGCGCAGGACCGACGGCTTTGCGTGCTCTCCGAGGCACGGGGGTGAAACACCGCCAACTTCCCAACTCCGGGCTGTTACTGAGACTTACTATACAGGAAGACTCAATAACTAAACTTGGCCCGACCCGGGACTCGAACCCAGGACCTCCGGGTGTGCAGCCGTACATGCTAGCCACTACACCACCGAGGCAGTTACTTAGTTAAAAATATATTTCGTCTAGAAAAAGAGAGATTCTTTAGATATATTCAAATGTTTCTTATTTGGACTACGAAATATAAAAATTTGTTCACTAAAATTTCTAAGCCGCAGCACAAACAAGTTTGAGAACAGGAGAGTTAAATTACTAAATATATTTCTAATTACAGCAACTTCTATAAGGTTTCTTTAATTTATTTTGGCAATTGTTTTATGTATTGATAGATATTTAGATTGCTGATATTACCACCATGTATTTTATAGTAAGATTAACTGTTTAGTTAAGTTTAATCTAATTTTTTTTTTCAATATTTTACGTTTCTTGTATAAGCTAATGAGTATAATATGTAATGTTGTAGTTTTATGGCTTTTTCAATTCACCTGCAAGTTCAGTTAAAGCAATTTCCTTTGAATATTAATTTAACTAAATTATGGTTTCTGAATAACGTATGTAGTATAGTATAGTTACTATTTTTTTTTATACCACGTCGGTGGCAATCAGGCATGCGGCCCGCCTGATGGTAAGTGGTAACCGCAGCCTATGGACGCCTGCAACACCTGGGGCATCACATGCGCGTTGCCAACCCTTTAAAAACCTATTTACTCCCCTTTTGAAGGACCCCATACTGTAGCCCTCTGGGAAAACCTCGGCAGGGAGTTCATTCCACAGCGAGATGGTCTGTGGGAGAAAATTCCTCTGAAACCGAACTGTACGGGACCATTTAGGCTGCAATGTGTGAGCATGAACTCGCTGTCGATGGCGAGCAGTGCGGTGATAGAAAGTGGCCGTGGGCATCATTTCGAACAATTCTTCGGAACACAACGCATTATACAAACGATAGAGCACACATAGGGACGCAAAATCTCTTCTTAAATGATATAATACTAGTATAAAAGATAATAATATATCGAATTATATTTTAGTGACCGACCGATGCCATATAGAAAATAGGTCCATGATGACAATAGATGGTCCATACGCGTTAACTTAAGCACATTTGCCAAAGCTAAGTATTAGCTTATAGAATATACATTTGCTCAGTAAAAAACTGTACAAAGGCCTGTTAGCGCGATAACTGACTCCCATAGAATAATACTTTCTTAGATTTACACGAATATTTTACATTTTAAATAAAACTATCTTTTCGGATTATTTCGTGGATTTATTTTGATTTTTGGCTTTAGTTTTGTTGTAACAAGTATATAACGCCTTTGAGACGTCTAAAACCTTAGTCTCTCTCGTGACCATGATTTCCGTAAAGAATTAGAAACGTCGGGCACCAAAAATCAAAATAAATCCGCGAAATAATCCGAAAAGATACTATTATGTAAAATGACTCCCATAGATCTAAATAATTTTTGAAAATTCCAATTTTTTTTTACCTGTAAAAATATAACTGACGTTTAAATCAATACAATAAGTGAGGTGGTAATAACAGCTTTATATAACTACAACGAATTAGAATTATCAAAGATTTTGCTATTAGAAAATGGTTTACTTTTTTCACGTAAGGAGGGGGTGTAAGGGGAGATCATTTAATTAAACCCGTCAGATTTCACGCTCACGAATTCGGTATAAGCCACGTTTATGCGAAATCCAATCTTGGTAATTACAGATTTTCATTCACGTGTCAATTGGTTTGTAACATTTTCATATTAACGCTTGGTTGGTATTTAATAATTAAAATGAAGGTTGCCACTTTGAATAATTAATTTTCAGTTTCCGATAAAGATTATTATATAAGTATTTTTTAAAGATTTTATATGATAGAGTTATTGAAAGATTCGTTTTATTTCATTCTCTCAATCACAGGCTATGCACATGAAGCTGCTAAATCTAGGAAAATACAAAAGTTTTTTAAGTAAAGTAAGTCTCTCACAACTCAGAAAAGATTATTTAAAGTTCTATTCCTAACCTATCTATTACTACTAATAGTTACCTGAAGACGCACCCAAGCAGAACGAGGGCAAATTGCTTGTTCATTACATAAAACTATATTTTGATATGAAACAATATGTATGTAATAATTACTTACATGTACTATTGAGAAGACTAATAAGATTTATTGCTATTATATGACTGTTTTACATTTTTTTGATTAAATTTAATATATTTTTAAAAGATATTTTAATATACAGTTTAGATTACATTACTATAGATCTTCACTATCTGAACGTAATTATTCTAATTTTTAGTATAGAAATCCATATATGAGCCATTTTTCGATAGATTTATTGTTACCGAAATAACTTGTAACATATCCACAAAAAAAAACTAAAAAGATACATCTGAATTGATTACCTCCTCTTTTATTGAAGTCGGTCAAAACACAACATGAACTCAATCAAACATCAAACTGCTAATTAAGTGCCAAACTATAACATCTTATACAAGATATTATTCACGAACACTTTGGAGATGTAAATGCTTAGATACCCTTTCTTGGGGCATTATCAATTTAGATTTCCATCAGATCAAAATCGTCACGTCATGTAACGCACATTATTTCTACAGTTTTCGACGTGCCGTTGTGCAAATCATTGCAGAACGATCTTTTAATCTGGGAGGAAATGACAGAATCCAAGTGGAAAATATTTTCGTCCCCTTAAATGATGGGGTCGCTTTCCATGATTTTGGGATACATAGTAATTTTAAATTCGGGTGTAATTGCAACCTTTTTACTAGACTATTAGTAATTTCTCCTAATTACCTTTAATTTGGAATTAGATTTTATCAAAAAGTAGCTCATGTGCTAATGACACTGCATCATAAATGTGGATGATTGTGTGTTTATTTCTCTTTCACGTTAGACAGGTTTAAATATTAGTAATAAATTTCGTTGAAAGGTGGCGCTGCCTACATATAATATTATAAATCCAAAGGGCATCTAAGGACGTACCAGATCTGAGTGTAAGTCGCTAGTATAGGATAAAATTTAATCCAATCTGAATTACCTAAATTTTTTCAAGCAGCGAAAATAAATACATGTGACTCATTCTATCACTCACTCGCTAATTGTATTGTCATCATTACACAGTAGCAATAATAAAGTAAGCTCCCAATGTCTACATCACAAGAAATATAATTTTTAAATAAAATTCATCTATTTTACTGATATTTTTGGACAGCACTTACAAATATCTATATTAATTAAATACGTCAGTATAATTAAAATAAAACTATGTAATTTTTTTATGAACGGCAATGAGAAATTAAATAAATACATGTTTATATTACTTGTGCTTATAATTTATTTACATACATATATTTTACAGGAATCCCTAAAAAAATGACTAATAGAAGCTCTACAAGGCTTTTCCTAAATATGATGTCAACGGAAATTAACAATTTAATAAGATGACGACACTATATTATATTTGGCATAAATAAAAACACAAGATATACGTTTTATAATTAAAATACTACGTATAATTCTGTATATAATTGAAACTGTTACTGAACACTAAATGGATAATGGTAGGATATCCTCGCGACATCTTCAGGCACATAATGCAAGTTGGGATACGCTTTTACCATCATTTGTTGATTGACTACAGCAAAAGGTCGAGACGAAATACTTTCTATGGATGGTAACGGTCTCAAATCGAGACTTGGCAAGGTTTCCTCCTTATTCCTCATGGGAGACATAAAAGGAGGTTGGCTTATTGGCACTGAGTAGCTAATCACGTTGTTGTACATATACTGAGGATCCGAATAGTTTACAGGTATTTGATAGTTGGGTTCCACCCGAGGTTCAACTTCGACGAAAGTCTCTCTTGTTGTGTATAAAGCTGGATTCCCATACGATGTATCCAATCTATTTTTCCGACGGGGACGGTATTTGTAGTCTGGATAGTCGTGCATGTGTTTCAACCTTAACCTTTTCGCTTCATCTATAAACGGTCTCTTCTCCGTCTCGTCCAAGCTCTTCCACTCTAAGCCGAGGCGTTTGGAAATCTCCGAATTATGTAGCTTTGGATTCATCATTGATATTTTCTTCCTTTGCAACCGCGACCACACCATGAATGCGTTCATGGGTCGCTTGATGTGGTAAGGATTTGAGTTTCTTGACAGTTTCGGCAATTTCGGTGGTGAACTCTCCAAAGGGTATGCCATTAGAACGTTTTCGTAACTAAGTTACATACAAATCATTACTGTATTAAGAGCATGGTTTTGCAAATGAAATATATCACAGTCTTGCATCTCACATTAGTGGATACAACAAATGGACCGATTTATCTAACAATTGAGATCGCGTAAAAGCTATCAAGTCCGCGACCAAGCCAACACTGATGACCGGTTCCGAAGCCGACTGCTTTGAACGCTGTCATTAGACCAACAATGGTCATCGCACAATAGTAACGACAATTTTCCATGTATTATTTGCCGTTGAATAAAGAGCGGCGACAATGCATTGATTGCTCACAAATTGTCAAATGATACTGCCGTATGTTTTGTATGAGGCGCGCCTGCGAGTGATCTATTAAACAATCTCCGCTGTATTCTTGTACGTAGGGCGAATTACTCAATAAGCGAATTTCATAGTTAGAAATGTCTGGCTGTTGTAAATCTTTGAAATTCTAAATAGATACTGTAAGCTTATAAAAATATAACAGTTACTAAAATATATTGCGATTTCGATCAAGGTATTAAAAAGATATTCTAATTAAATATGTATATCTACATACATATATTTATTACTAGTCATCTATTTTTTTTTAATTTTCAAACACATAACTAATATCCTTTGAATGTGATGTTGAATCGAATACGAATTGATGAATATGAAAAATTCAGGTTTTTTTTTCACTTTTGTTACACCTTAAAATCATATTATCTTAAAACATCCGGTACGTTACGACTTCTAAACAATTCAAATTTAAAATATAATCAATTAACAATACCTTTATACTTTTATAGAACAATCAAAACATTCATGAACACCACAAATATTTCTCTTTTCCTATAATAGAAACTGCTACCTAAAATCAATATGCCATATAATATCCATATATCCATATCCATATATATTATAAATGTGAAAGTGTGTTTGTTTGTTCTTCTTTCACGTCGAAACGGATTGAAGGATTGGCGTGATTTTTTGTGTGGAGATAGTTGGAGGTCTGGAGATTGACATAGGCTATTTTTTACTGCGGGAGATTATCTAATTCCCACAGGAAAACACGTTATAATACAATCCAAAAAATATTTATGATCAGAATTACTTGAAGCTTGGTACTATTTAACAAAATTAAATAAAATATACATGTTTTAGCATTTTTCGAAATTCATCCTATAAGGGGCTAAAATTGGGGATGAAAGTTTGTATGAAACTAACTTACTATTACTACTAGTTACTAGTTTTAACGCGAGCGAAGCCGCGGGTTCTGCTAGTTATAAATAAATAATACCAAAACTGCAATATAGTCAAATCCTAGGTAACTTATTGGTGAGAAGCTATTAATATCCCATATATAACATCACTTTATTCGTGATTTCGCAATTGAAATGTAGATTAGGTGCATTATGAACTAGTATAAAGGTACAGTGAGGTGTGGCTTAATCTTCATTCATAATCTACTATTGAAAATCTATCAGGGCTCATAAACCTTTCAGCTAAATGACACCCACTTTAAAGAAAAAATGCGTTTTTTTCTCATCAAAAACAGAATTATAATAAAAATTACTTAAAATCACTCAATATTAAGATAATTTTGTTGCTTTAAAATTATTTCTTACATCCAAAACAATACAATCTTGGCAGTTATGATCAATTTTGGTCTGACACGAAAAAAAAGTAAAGAAAAAAAATCATAAAACAACATTTTTCAAATAATACTTTCTTAGATTTACGCGAATATTTGACATTTTAAATAAAACTATCTTTTCGGATTTTGTCGCGGATTTATTTGCATTTTTGTTTCCCCATATAATACCTTAGCGACATCTAACACCTCAGTCTCTCCCGTGACCATGATTGCTATAAAGCATTCGAAACGTCGGGAAACAAAAATGCAAATAAATCCGCGACAAAATCCGAAAAGATAGTTTTACTTAAAACATTTTTCAAATCTTGATTTACTTCGTTTTCTATTTATTAAATAATAAAACCTCCTCACTGGAGTATCATCTAGTACTTCCATTTATTAATTTTAGTCCACCAAAGATTGACCGTTCCTGTTTTAGACCATAGACTATATATTACCAATTGTTGTACCGTAGGCTTGGTTGTTACGAATGGCTTATCTATAAACTGACCGTTGTGTATGGAGCAATCTAGTGGGACTTGTTATTGTAATTATATGTAGTTTACAAGCCCTAAATATAAATTTAGCATTTTATTATAGTCCACGTGTCATTTAATTCATTGATTTGTCTATTTTGTTGTGCACCTTCAATGTGACATTTCTAAAGGATTTGGTTTAATATTAGGTATATCTCCTGTGAAAAGCTCTAAAGCTATGGATTAAGTAAAACCTACGTTTTACCTTGAATTTCGTTTTATGCTTATTATTAATATTCTATTATTGAATACAGTATGTCGAAATAAAATCTACACATATACATAATAGAATTGTAACTAAGCCAAATCTGTACATTAAATATTTTTTGAAAAATCTTATTGAAATAGACATTATTATCGATACAGAGGCCGAATCTATAGTTTTTAGAATTTTTGTCTGTCTGTCCGTCTATCTGTTACCGCATCACGGAAAAACTTCTGGAGGGATTTTGATGAAATTTTGTACAATGTTAGCTGGTTATCTGGGTCGTCTCATTTCTGAGAAAAAATATAAAAACTAATGTAAGAGTATACTAATATGTAAAACCTAAGAATTTGGTTTTTGGTCATCTGAACGCGGGCGGAGCCGCGGGCAATGCTAGTAATATATAAATATGGCATTGATATAAATTTATTGATTCTATGAAACGCATGTGTCTCTATAATGATAGAGTGTGAAGAAAGAAAATAGTTGATCTTATGTTGTATTTTGTATGTTGCAAGTAGAATGAAAAATCATTACAAATTTTACAAAAACAAAAGGATGTTTGTTAGATAATTAATTGGTTCCTCTTCAACGAAACAAAAGAACGCAGGTAATTAAATTGTATTCAGCCCTTTATATTTTTTAACGTCCCACTGCTGGGCACGGGCCTCCCTTCAATACGAGGGGGATCAATCCATAATCCACCACGCTGACAAAGTGCGGGTTGGTGAACTTCAGATGTCTTTTGAAGACTTGCTAAGTTGTCTCAGACATGCAGGTTTCCTCACGATGTTTTCCTACACCATAACGCGAGTGATAATCATGTTAGAAATGATTCGCACATGAAAATATTCATTCACATTCACTCGGTTTCCCAAACGAGCGCGTTACCACTGGACTACCTCTGCCTCTTGTAATTAAATTACGATAATCAAATTCAAGTGGTGGCAGGTGTCTAGTAATATAATATAATAAAACGGTATTAACTATACCTAAAAATATTTTTTTCTATATTTTATTTTGAATCGTTAATAGAATAATAATTAATAACTAAATTAATCTATACTAATATTATAAAGAGGTAAAGTTTGTGATCTTGTGAGTTTGTGAGTTTGTGATGTTGTAGGGGGTAATCTCTGGATCTACTGAACCAATTTTCAAAATTCTTTTACCACTAGAAAGCCACGTTCTTTCTGAGTGTCATAGGCTATATATTAACCCGAAAAATGAAAAGGCTTTTTCGTGGTAGTCGGATTTGCAAAGTAAGTCGGAGAAAAAACGGTCGAACGAAAACGTTTCTTACGAACGCTGCCTTAACTATGAGAGATATATGATTATGTTCTAGAGAAAAGTTGTAGAGCTTAATAATGCCTACAAAGAAGTCAGCGACAGCATATGTCTAACTTTTATATTTAAGTCACAAAAAGTAGTTTTTTATATTAAAAAAACAATTTAAATCGGTAGGTCATGTTTATTGGTCATATTATCAACAGTTATGAATTCTTATCAAAATAAGCAAATTTATCGTCTAAAATGTTTAAAACAAAAGACTTTTCCCTTTTACTGCATATAATTTGGACAAATGGTTAAAGAGATAATACAACATATTCGTAGGTATGGACGAACCCGAGCGAGCTGTTTGTCTGTTTTTCTCTTTGTACGGGCTAATCTCCGGATCTATTGGACCTATTTAAATAAAATTTTGCATGGTGGTACCTTATATCCCCGGGCAACATATTAGATACTTTTCATCCCGGAAAATTAAAGAGTTCCCGTGGGATAGTTAAAAAACTATAACAACTTATACAGCTTAGTACACAAAATCTACTGATTGGATTTTAATGAAACTTTTTAATAATATAGTTCATACATGACAAAAACAAATCAGCTACTTTTCATCCCGGAAAATTAAAGAGTTTCCGTGGGATCGTCAAAAAACTATAGTAACTTATACAGCTTAGTACATAAAAACTACTGATTGGATTTTGATGAAACTTTACAATAATATAGTTCATACATCAGAATAACAAATAGGTTACTTTTTATCCCGGAAAAATGTACTTTTCCCGTGGGATAGATGTTTTTGTTTATTTGTAACGTATTATGTACACAACATAAACCCCAAAACAATAGTTATTAAAAAATATGTCTGTTTGACTGTTTGCCTGTATGATAACTTATTAATCGTGTCAACATTTAGGGTACCTTTTGTATGTATGTATGTATGTTTGTATGTTGTATTCAGCCCTTTTTAACGTACCACTGCTGGGCACGGGCCTCCCTTCAGTACGAGGTGGATCAAGCCATAGTCCACCACGCTGGCCAAGTGCGGGTTGGTGGACTTCACATGTCTTTCGAAAACTTGCTAGGTTCTGTCAGACATGCAGGTTTTCCTTTACCGTTAAGACAAGTGGTAATTGTGTTAGAAATGATTCGCACATGAAAATATCAGAGGTGCGAGACCCGGGATTTGAACTTGCTTCACTCGGTTTCTCAAGCGAGCGCGTTACCACTGGGATACCACTGCCTAGATACCTTTTACTTAAAGAAAATCTTTCCCACGGGAAAATAGAATAACTGGTTTTATCGAGTCCTCCCTAGAAACCTTCCGCTGGCTAAGCCTTAAGA